GGGGGGGAGGGGAGGGCCTGAGGTGTAGGTGGGGGTGGGGTTGGTAACTCATAGCCGTGCATGCCGTAGTGGTTGGGCCATTCACCTGTTCTCGCACTTCTACAATGCCGGAAGCACGGAGCGACATGGCGGGTTTCCGCCGGCCCAGCCAGGCTGTCAACCTTTGACAAGGATGGACCAGAAGCAAAATCTCCAGAACCGTATATGACACAAGATGACACACGCCCTGTACCGATGTTCCAAGATCAATTTTCACCGGCAGCAACAGTCGGATCGCCGAAAACGTATCATTTCGTTTATGCATCCTCTTCGCCGTCGAGTAATCGAGCTTGGAAAAGTCCAGGGGGTGTTTTATCTCGTGTCAGATACTGTACTTATCCTTGTACATGTTGGGCCAATCCAGACAACATGCCATGGGCATCCCGGCTAGCAAATCGTTTCACATTCGGCAGGCACGACCGGTCTATAGTTCGAGAGTCCCGGGATTGAGTTGCACAGCGAAGGAGTGATCGTGACGAGGTTGGTCGCCTCAAGAAACGAGTACTTTCTTCCCCAAAGGGGAGAGCTAAGCGAAAAATAAGGCTCGGAACCAACCGGCGCCGTTCACTGCTCGTTGGACTCTTTATCCAATGGATGGGCCATATGGTGCCATCGCTGCGAGATACCGCAAGAGGCGGAGAGATGGGACCCCCCGTACTGTAGACCGACTTCCACAGCGCGATTGCTCTACAACCAAACTTGCTTGTGCCAACACCAATAATAATGAATGGTGGTTAGGGAGAGACCCTTCGTCTACGGCTTTCCGCAGACGTATCGGGCTCTTGCCGCACCCACTTGGTTGCGGGATGATTGAGCTTTGAAAGTCGGTCAAACGTAGNTAACTGCCTCGAGGGTGCTTGACCATTTTAACACAACGTGGTGCGATCATCCCCCTTGCGCGGAGCGAGGGTTCTCGACCCCGCACAACATGATCTACTCGACCACCATTATGGCTACCGCCAAAAAAAAAAACGGAGGTAAAAAAAAAAAACGGTAACCTGGTTGCCGAGTACAACGTCTTTGCCAAGCGACGAAAACCCAATCCCGATGGTAAATACCGCGGGGTAGTAGGGGGGTGTCTTCTCTCCGCCACTTGTGGTAGACGCGTCGTCTTTGTTGGAATATTTGGCACTACCATAGCTTGAGCATTAGGTAAGCAGTTTGACTAACAGTTCAAATATTGTCAATATTGTCAATATTGTCAATGCCGCTATGCCACGTCGTAGGTAAAATTCCGTATGGTCTGTCATACTCGGAATATGGTGACATGGTTGATGTTCTGTGTTTCATATCTGGAGATATCTTCATGGTCTATATTTCCATAAGTATTTCATAGTGCAAGGATCTCCGACTTGCGTGCTCGGAAATACATATGCATCGGGTAGTTGTCGCAAGTATCTCCGACTTGCGTGAATGAAGAATATTTTCCGCCGCAAGCGACTCAGACTTGCATGCTTGAATGAATGAAAATTCGTATGCGCTCAGCAGTCGAAGGAAGGAAGTAGTTTAATTGTTGAGGCTGTATTCTGCGTTTTGTCGTTGTCAGTGCAAGTAATCACTTGTGCGTGCAAGTAAAATACTTGATTTGCATTCGTGGCACAAGTTCGAGAGCATGGTGTTGGAGTCATCTTTCCAGAAAAAACGTATCGTAGCTTACCAATACCATATTCTGAACACGTGTGATTGGTCGACGTTGTCGGGTAGGTGTGATTCCATGATTTCGAGGATGAGCTCGTACTCGCCCCATCCTCTCCCTCTGCTTCTTTGGGGGTTCTCCAACCCTCTTTCTTCCCCTCGCTGCCTCGGCAAGGTTTTGCGTAGGCATGACCCAGAGCCAGGGGGGGGGGTCTTTCTAGCGAGCAGGGCTAGACTTACCCTCAAGGGACCGACACCTTCTTGCTGCGGCGCACCCGCCGCGAGGCGTGCATAGTGGTGGAGTTGGGTCGGCACTGGTGCATCAGGTACAAAGGTGCACATGCGCGGGCCTCCAGGCCGT